GCCACCGGAGGTGGACTTCGGGTGGCTGTACACCAGCCTGGCTCGGCCAGGCCAGACGCGTCCTTTCCGGTCCGGGAGGACGAAGGCATCTACCCTGCAGATCGACAACCGACTTCTCCACCACCTGCTGGCGAAGTCTTACACTCCTGCAGCTGAAAGCGCCGGCGCCATCACGAAGAGGACCCTGTACCTCCTCCATTCGATCCGCCAGCGCCACCATCCTCTCCACCTGGGTTCGGTGGTGGCCAAGACCTTTGAGAAGACTGCCACAGAGCTGAAGAGCCTCCACTGCGGCCCCCTCATCACCCGCCTGGCCACCTTCTTTGGCCTTTCACTGCAGGGGTGCACCGAGGAGGGGGACACCCTCATCTTTGGCAGCAAGACGATCGGGAAGATGCTGCTGTTGCGGGAGAGGAACGGTGTTCAATGGGTCGATGGGTTTCCGGAACCTCCGATTCCCGCGGAGCCCGTGCCAGAGGCCCAGCCAGAGGGCCAGGAGGAGGAGGCTGCTGATGAGGTGGATCCCGAGGAGGTGGATGATGCTGCTGCTGCTGATGCTCCACCACAGACTGCCTTCCATTACGGGGGTAGCAGCTCCGCTTTCCAGGGACAGGATTACTTCTCTCATCAGTTCGAGCAGCTGCGGATCCAGAACCAGCTGATTCTCGACCAGCAGATGCAGTTCCATCAGCAGTACGCGGCAGACCAGGCCGAGTACCGGAACAGGATGGATGCTTATGACGAGCGGCTGAACATGATCCAGACTCAGCAGGGCGTGACTCTCGCCCACATCGAGCGGGAGAAGCGCCGTTCACGGCGCATGCAGGAGGTTCAGCAGCACCTGCTCCAGCTGCTCCCGGGCGAGCAGCCTGTCTGGAGGACTCCCTGGGATGACTCCCCTCCACATGCCCCCACTGACGGTGATGATGGTGCTGCTGGCGCTGCTGATGATGACGCGTTCATGAACGACATCGACCTCGACGATCTTGGCGACGAGTAGGTTGTACTCGTTGCCCGTCTCACTGTGTTTTCTTTGTCATTTTAGACTTTTGTGTGTTTGCTCCATGTGTGCGGAGCTTGAACTCAGTGTCGTTTGTTTTTGTTTTTGGTTTTCCTTTGTGGTTTGTTTTTGATGTAGCCGTCTGGGCTAACACTTATCCCTAACGCACAGTGTGCTAGTGTGTTTCTGGTGTTCGAATTCGTGCAGAACTGTCCACTTCTGCTCGCGTTTTGCTTTCTCGCTGACGTGGTCCACTTCCAGTCCCCAGCAGTGTTTCAATCCAGTAAACATCGTTCCCCTTATCTTTCCCTCTACTCCATTGAGGGCAATGTCGTGCTTAAGTGTGGGGGGGTGCTTTGTATTGGTTGGAATATTTATTTGGGTGCTTGGAGCCTAGTCCGCTGTCCGAATCTTACGATTTGAGGGCTCCAAGTACTGCTGTTTGATCATATTGGCACTGTGTTTTGATGGATGAATTGATTGATTTTCGGATTAATGCATGACAACTTGTTTGCGACTAGGACAACCTATGATGAGGACTGAGATGTGCAGTAGAACGTGTAGGGGTTCAGTTTTCAACTGTTTGCTTGCCAACTGTGACTTGGATTGATTACTTGTTCTTGACAGTCGTTTATGCATCTAGTTCAGGGTATCAGAATGTGAGATAGAGCATATAGGTAGCCATGTGAGATTTGAGCCTGCTCGTTTCTTTCTTGTGCGATAGATCCCTCTTCCATGATGTGTAGCATTCACGTTGTCACTAGCTAAGATGATGGGGGCATAGGATTAGCCCACGCCCAAACTGACTGTCCTGATGTGTCATATCCCCTAGTCAGCCCCTTTGAGGCCGTGTGTTATCCTTTCTTTTGGTCTATAATGAAAAAAAATCACCCTTTTGCATCTTTAGAAGGTTCCACAGAGTGGTTTTACATATTCTCTGCTGTTTCTGCTAAAGTTATGTGAGTGTTGGAGGTAGTGCTTAAAAGTTGGGCAGGTGTTTGAAATTATGTGCAGAAGTGGTGGGCTCTCTTAAGAAATGAAAAGAAAATGAAAGAAAAACAAAGAAAAAATTGAAAGCAAAAGAGAGCCACTACCAAAAATCTGAATAATGCCCAGTAAGTAGTGTTTCTTAGCAGTCTGGCTTGGAAATGCTTATGTTATACCTCCTTCGCTTTTGTGCTCTTGAGATATTGAGTAATGCAGAATAGCAGAAAGGAAAATACCGTTTGTTTGACTGTGATTGGTGTGTTTGGAAAATGTGGAACCTTGTGCTATGAATACTTCCACCACCTAAAAGGCCTTTTCCCCATGTCCAAGACCCTAGCCAGTCATTTGAACCTGTGTCTAAGACCTCCTGATTAGTTAGTGGTGACACCCCATATGTGAACTCTAGCATTTAGAGGCTGCCATCATGGTGAAGAGATGATAGGGATTGAGAGAAATAGCATGCGCATCTTTCGCATCAAATTGTCCTGACCCCACTGGTCGAGAGTGAGTGATTCATTTTCATTTTCTATATGCTCTTGTACACCGGTGAGGACCTAGATTGCTCGGTCTCTATTCTGATGTCTTGAGTTGGATGCATGAGTTGACTGTTTTGAGTAAGTGGTTGAATCAAGTCTAGGTTGGCCAGTGAACAGAAGGGAGACTCTTCCTTTACTCGATTTGCTGCACTCGAATGTCCTTTGTGGTGGTTGTCCAGGTTGTTATTGAGGTTGTGCATGTATTGTTGTTTGAAAACCAGTGCGATTCACATGTTCTGTGCCTTTATGACTTGTCCCCAATGTTGGTCGATTGAAATATGTAAGCTTACCTGGTGTATGACTTGGTTTGCTTAGGGACAAGCAAACGGTTAAGTGTGGGGGAGTTTGATAGACCGTCATTTACACATGTTTTTACCCTCGTTCTTACACCGTTTGAGGTGTTGATTCTCGTGTTTTAGGCCGATTTCACGCTAGGTTGTGATTGTTTGTGATATTTCAGGTCCTAGTACGTGAATGAAGGCTTAGGAGCGAGTCTGGGGTCGATTGGACGAAGATCGGACGAGTGGCGAGGTTTCAAGGAAGCTGCACGGGCAGACCCTGGCACCGCACGGCCGTGCACATGAGCAAGATGGCAGTGCGCTTTTTGCCGAGGCCACGCACGGGCAAGCCATGGGAATCGCACGGCCGTGCAAGGTGCAACCCTGGCCGTGCGAGAAGCCTTAGATCGAACTAAACGACACGCTGCGTTTTGAGTTGCACGGCCAAGTGGGTGATCTGCACGGCCGTGCACCCTGGCCGTGCGAGTCGGGAAATCCTGGTTTTAGAGCCTATTCCGAGCCAAAAGTGGGAGAATCGTGTTTTCAGAGCAAAAACAGAGCCCTAGAGAGAGAAAGTGCGAAGAACACATCCTAGAAGCTGTCTTAGAGTTGGATTTCATCGAATCGAGCAGGAGATCGTCATAGGAGTGGAAATCATCGTCCCGGAGCAGATTTTCCTCATCGTTATGAGTATGACTAATCCGATTCGTGTTTTCTCTTCTCTCTCTATGGAGTAGAACCCTTCTCTCACTTGGGTATGAAGAACCCTAGTTCCTTGTGTTAGGGATTTGATTGTAATGACTTGGGATGATATTACTGTTTGATTTTAATCGAATGACGCATGTTTATTGAATTGATTGGAGTCTGATCAGCTTTTCTCAATTTCTGCTGCAACCTGAGATAGATAGAATCTGATTAGGTTGTTAGAGTCTCTTCATTCGATAGTAGGAGATTGGCTATACGAGAGTTAGCCAGTTTACTGCTTTGTACTGGAATTCAATTCCAGTAGTGGAGTTCTGTGTTCATAGCCTCAGCTTTCTTTCCCGGTGAAGACTAGTCGTCTGCCGGGTAGTTAGACTGAGAGGGCTTGGTCAGCTTAAGAGATTCCAAGCTACTGTCGGATCTTCCGCAGTCTAATCAACAGTAAATCAACCCAGGGAATTACAATTGAACCTAACTAGGGAATTAGGGGGACTCAATCCCGAGTGACTCTTTCCTGACTTTGAAAACCGGACAATTTACTGCTTTCTTGTTGCTTTTACTTTTAACAACAATCACTCGAACTAGTTTGCTAGATAATAGATAATCACGGAGTAAGCAGTAGATCTAGACCCCGGGTTGATAATATAACTTGCCTGTTACTGCATTCCCGGACTGCGATTACACTTGGTCGCAGTTTGGTGTTGTGTTTTAGCGTGTTAGCTGCTGATTTGTGTTGCATAAAATATATATTAAGGGACACAAAATGAAAGTGTTGCCTATATTTATTTTATGCAACACTTTTTAGAAGTGTTGCGGGACGAGTGTTGCGTAAAGCCACTTTTCCCGTAGTCTAGCGACATGCATAAGCTTATCAAGTTATCCTACTTGTCCTTGGTGGGTTGTTCGAGGATTAAATATTTGCCACAACTCCCACTCATCTTCTAACTTTGGATGTAAGTGGTTGCACTTTGCTGCAATCCTTGCCATGCAACATAGGCAAGTTGAGATGTAAGAAGCTTTACTTTGAAGATTGCCCGCAACTGGATCCGTATCTTCCTCAAAAAGTAGTGCTTAATTTCCATAATCATGCAACGTCAAATCTACATCCTCGGGTATTTAAACATTACAAAACTATAATCTAATTATATCAAAGATTATTATTGGTGGTAATTCTTGAAGATCTATTTTATGAGGGTGCCTCTTTGTTGGCATTAGGGTGTTCTTCAACATTCGGGGAGTGAACTTCCAGGGTGGTTTATTTACAAAAGCGTGAATTATGCAAATGGTTCATATGTGATGGTGCAATTGACTCTTCCTAACTGCACTACTAAGCGACTAATCAAAGGGATTGCATTTGGCGTGGTGTGTTCTTCAAATATTGGGCTTGTCGAGATATCTATCGCTTGGGTTTGCAACATCGGCACCACCATCGCTGCTATATGTTGGTGTTCCCCCGATTTTGGTTTAAGTGGGGCCTCCCAATCAGATAACGTATATATGTGGTACGACAAGAACCTATTATGTGATACCGAGGAAGGAATACGAGATGAAGCAGAACCTTGGTACGAGAGATATGCTGGCCTCACTGTTGACTTCATATTTACCCTTCACCCAGTCAAGGAAGAATATGCCAAGAAAGTAAAGAGCATCAAAATCAAAAGTATTGGCGTCTCTCTACTGGACTAACTGCTAGCTCATATATAGTTTGTTGGTCTCATGGAGAACAATTGTGTGTTGTTTTGTTGTAACTCGTCTCCAGACATTCCTCAACATTTGCTGTGTATTGCATAGCATAGTTGTTCGGTAGCTCTCTTGGCCTCCAAAGAAATTGTCATCAATTTCAGACCTTCATATAGAGTGCATTCAGAATTTCATATGCATACCAGCAGAGAGCATGAAAGTTCGTTGCCAGGTTGCATGATCCTCTTCTTTTTCCCTTCAGCTGCACCATCACCAAAGATATGATGGTCGGTCCAAGTTTCACAAGGATCAAAGTGCGGCAGATTAGAAGTTGTGGGTGTTTTTTGTAAATAGGCAGCTACCTTGTAAATAGCTTATTCTTTGTTTCAGCTGATACGGCGCCGTTTCACTATAGCTCCGGCGTTCCAGCGGCAGAGACACCCGTATCATCTTCGTCGAACCCGTCTCTACCGATTACAAGAAGCTTTCCTTCGACGATTCCCAAGCTGTTTCATTTCAGGCCATCGAGGGAGCTTCTATTGCTACCCATACCCGATGTTGATTTAGATGGGGAAATGAAAGCTTTTGGTTCAGTAAGCATTGGTGTCATGGCGTGGCTGGCTGACTATTTCCGCTCCGATTTCTCGCCAAGTGAGAAGCGCATCCCCATGATTTCACTCTCTGGCAAATGGCGGATGATTGGTCGTTGTTGACTATCGGTCTGTTTTCTTCTATCATTTTCAATGTTATCAGGTATTTGCTCTGTAGCATGTCTCCACTGTGCGTCCTTTGTTTAGTAGAAGAAATCTGAACTGCAACTAGGATTGGATGTTTAGAAAGGAAATTTTTAGGGTCGAAAGTGATTCGAGTGATCATCTCAAAGATTATTGCAGCTATGGGGTTGAAGCAATTCCAGAATTCACACTATCTGAATGAATGAACTTCTTTTCCTCCGTCTTTGTCGGTTCTGAAAGTGATTCATTCAGTCTGCTGTTTCTTTTTTCTTCCATTCTGCTCTCTTGCAGACAGAAGTATGTTGCAAGTTCACTGCCAAGAAACTTAGACGAGATCCCAACTTCCATCAAATTTCCATCAGAATAATGAGCTACCACGCCTTATCCGCGAAGCAAATGGATTGGGCGACACTGCCGACACATTGAAGAACGAAATTTTTTATTGTTTCATATTAGTGACATGGTTCGAGCTGCCATCTCATAACAGTGATGGAGAGCTCTTGAAGGTCTCGGTTAACCCAACATCGGTTTCAACTAATGCCAAAGTATCCTCAAGATTCTGTCTTCCAGACTTGCTGGACTTCTCTTTCTCGTATTCGTTAGAATTTTCAGGCAAGAATTACTAATTAAGATCGTGTTCATTTGCAGATGTCATTCTCTTCGAAGGCGATTCCCTCCCAGACTTTCTCCAGCCTGCAGGTCTCATCAATTGAGAAACTTGGTGAAGAAAACTATCATGTGGGGCTATAGAGTCTCTCAACTTCAGAGACATCAGTACAGATGATGATCTTGGTTTTTATCAGTTCAGCAATCGATTGGGGAGGAGCATGTTGCCGCTCTCAACTCCCTTCACACGGTTCACTCTTTGCCAATGCCAATACTAGATCACATTTATTGAGAATACCCCGTTGCTTCTTGCTTGAAAGTTAGCCAGAGATCTCGCAGCCTCTCAATGACTTAACTACGCTTGATACAAACAAACGTAGAAACTTCCTTTTTTTTTTACTTTCTGCAATTATTTGGTTGTATCTGAATCAGAATGTTGAAATGCGATGGAACTCTGCAGCATGTTCTACTTGCCTGTTATTATATACTTGGCATTTCTTGAACTCTTTACAGCTATGAAAATTTTGTTTTCCTTTGAGATGCTGATAATTTGACATGACTCGAATCAAAGAGGCAACAGATTAATTTTTGCATGAATTACAGTGCCCGACGCTTTCGAGCATCAATGTATTTTTCTTAGGGACACAAAGAAACTCGACGGATAAGTTTGAATCTTTCCAGAGTTGAAGAAGTTGCTTTGAAAGCCAATGGCTTTTGAAGGGATGGACTCTCTGAGATGTCTCGAATTTTACTGGCCAGAGCAGGGAAGGTAAACAAGCATTTGCCATGTTTTGTTATAGTTCCTTAATACATTAGTTCTTATATTTCTACATATTACTGGGTTTTGTTTGACCTCATACTGCTTTTGCTGTTTTTTCATTGGCAGCCTAAGCTTCAGTACCTGATTGTGCTTAAACTCTCCTTCTGCGAAATTTTAGCTGCTATCCCAAACCTGTCGAGCTCTTCCAAACTCGACCTTATATGCCGGAGATGCAGAACTCTAGTTGAGCTACCTGAAAGTGTCCAGTCTCTTTGTCAAAGTCTCCAGCGTGTTCCAGCCAGACTCGACTCAAAGTTCCTCAAGCAGCTTCTGTTGTCCAATTGTCCCAATGTCATAAGATGTCCTCCTGATATGAATTCAGAAGAGTTGGAGGCTTGAGATTTAGATGGGACACCCATAAGGGTGCTGCCGGATGCAATGTCCATAGTCAATCAGGGTGGGATGGTGAGTCTCTATGGTCAAAACTTCACTAATTTCCTTCAAATTTCAATGAGCTTGAAGCTGCTTCGTCTGCACCATACTGCAATAAGGGAGATCGAATTTTAGCATTATCAATTTGATCGACTGCATTTGGTACAGAACAAGTATTTTGAGGGTTGCCCATTGATTGAATGTTTGGCCTTCACACTTGACCCGGCTTCGTATTTCTGGCTGCGCAGCTCACCGATGCTTCTTCTTGCATATCAAATATGAAATGTTTGAACATGCAAATTCTTGGTGCCACAGGAATTAAGTCACTGCCTTCCTGTATCGAAGAATTGGATCAGCTCTTTTATCTAGATCCATCCCAACTGTGAAAGCCTCGAGTCCTTCACAAACACCATCCACAAACTTGGCAAGCTGGCTGAACTATTGTTGATGGGCTGTAGCCTGTAAGAGTATCCAGTCTTCGCCAAAACGCCCACCAAACATTAATATTTTGAAGGCAAATTAATGTGATGAATTGGAAGTTCTATCGAGCAACCTTGGGAATCTGAGTTTGCAGTACCTGAGGCTTGATGATTGCCCAGAACTGGACAGGGGTTTGGTTGATGAAATCGTGGCAAATTTCCCCGATCAAGTCTTGTCTTGCCATTCTCAGGTATGTATGCACATATAAGGCTGCCGTTGTCATTGTTTGTGTTTGTCAACAATGTCATGGTTTGATCAACGGAGCATCGATCGAGGAAGAAAATCATTTGAGCATGGAGCTACCTGTGGACTCTGTGGTTTTCATTATTATTTTTCAACCAAAAACAAAGTTCCATTATTACGAGTAACAGCTGTGAAGAGGTAGAGAAGCAGGACTGTACTGAATTTGGTAAATTCCTTTATGGTGGTGGACCAAAGAAATACTTAATTTCTTGCTTTGTGCATTATATTTCCCCGCAATGACGCGTTTGTTTGTATGGACAGAACTTCCCTCTTTCATATTGCACATGGGACGGACCACTTAAACAGTTGGAACCAGAGAGACGCAATTAAATCCCCCAACGACCTCTTTGCCCAGTTACAATAAAGTGTTCTTTCTTGCCAAGAAACCATCACAGCTTCCCACAGCCACAAAGCACCAAACTTGAGAGACTACCAGAGATCAAATGGCTGCTGCTTCTTCTTCTTCTCCTTCGTCTCATCATCCTGGCTCCTCCTCCTACTCAGGGAGATGGGAATATGAAGTCTTCTTGTGTTTCAGAGGTGCCAACACCCGCACTGGTTTTACCGGCCACCTCATGGCTGCTCTACGCGACAGACAAATCAAAGCCTTCATCGACGACATGCTAGATAAAACTGAGAGTATCGACGAGCTGATCTCCGCCCTCAAAAGATCCGCACTCTCAGTTGTGATTTTCTCGGAGAATTTTGCGGACTCCAGCTGGTGCTTGGATGAAGTGGCCACCATTTCTCGAAGCATGGAAGAGTTCGGACACCGGGTGCTTCCGGTGTTCTACAAAGTTGATCCATCGGATGTATCCGAGGCTTCTGGAAGTTACGCTGCTGCCATTGAGCAGCATCATGGATCTAGCGAATCTCCAGAAGATAGGAAGAGATGGATGGATGCTTTGAAAGCCATAGCTAATTGTGCTGGCTATACTTCACACGATATCAAGTAAGTCTTCCTTCCCTAATTAAGAGCCAACCTTGTTACTAATAGTAATTTCTTCTCTCAAAACATGACTTCCCTTTTCTCATCTGGATTTTTGTTTTCCTTTTTCCTTTTGTTGTAACCTTTGGGGTTATTAGGCTTGATTCTGAACTAGTGAAGGAGATATTTAACGATGTTCTGAAAAGACTCACAGAGATTTCACATAGAGTGAAGTTTGATCACTTGATTGGCATGGATGCCGAGTTTCCGAGGTTGAACAACTATTAGCTATGAATGTAGATGATTTTCGCTTTATTGGTCTTTGGGGGATGGGTGGTATAGGAAAGACCACTCTGGCTACTGCTTGCTACCAGTCATTTGTATACTCTAGAAAAGAAATGAAGCATCACTTTATTCAGAACATCAATGAGAAGCTTGAAAAGCAATCCGGAATCGAAGGAATGGTACATGAATTGTATTCAACATTATTGTCAGTGGATAACTTAAACAGTCATAACCTGGGTATTAGTTATAGAAGGGAACATCTTTCTCGTCTAAGGGTGTTCCTTGTTCTCGATAATGTGGAAACAGTACCGCAGTTGGAACAGTTGTTGTTGGGAGATAAGCAGGCCAAAAACCTCTTTGGCCCAGGAAGCAGAATTATTGTGATGACTAGAAATCAAATAGTACTTGAGAATGCAGGGGCTCATATATATGTGGTGAAGTGTTTGCATTCTCAAGAATCACTCCAACTGTTTGGAGTACATGCATTTAGACAATACCTTCCGCCTGATGATTATGTGAATCTATCATGTGTCGCCGTATCATATTGTAAGGGAAGCCCTTTAGCTATAAAGGTATTGGGATCTGCATTGCTTAATAAGAAGCGAAGTTATTGGAAGAGCTTCTTGTATGAATTGGAGAAATATCCAAAGCTGGAAATTCATGATGTCCTTCGGAGAAGCTACAATGACCTTGAAATTGTCAAGAAAAGAGTATTTTTGGATATTGCTTGTTTTCTTCCACAGCTTGTGAAATCCTTGGCGATTCAATATTTTCCCACTAGTTACGTAGAGGATTTAATTGATAAATCCTTGCTTAGCTATGTCTTCATTGAAAGCGAAGGTGTAGAGAGGATTGAAGTTCATGACTTGCTAAGGGAAATGGCTTGGGCTATAGTTAATGAGGAATCAAAACTTGAAAATCGCAGTAGATTGAAGAATTCTGATGATATTTACAAGTTATTGGCAGTCGGAGATGTCAAAACATCAAGAAAATTCAGCTATTTGAACATTATAAAACGGAAAGAGAAGCATAGGAGTGCCTATGAGCGAGGTAGAACCACTGAAGGCATTCTTTTGAACCTTTCCGAAGCCATGGATATACACATGGATGCCAACGCTTTTGAAGGGATGGCATCTCTGAGTTATCTTGAGTTCTCCTATTCGAGAAATGAGCATGGAGCTTCTAAAGTTCGTTTTCCATACGGAGGCCTTGTCACCTTTCCAGATAGCCTAAGATGGTTGCAGTGGCAGAAATTTTCTTCAAAATCTCTACCATCAAGATTTTCTCTAGCAAACCTCGTCATGCTTGATCTATGTGCTAGCCCACAACTGAAAAGATGTTGGAAACCTGAGGTATGTTGAACACAATGATTTTTTTTTTTTTTGGATTCGTAGATTCTCTCCATGTCATTCAAGGGCCGGGATGCAAGGAGGTAATCCGAAATGTGGAAGAAAATAAATGATAATATTTCAAATTGGGTTACTTGGTGGAATTAAATATCTTCTATACCGCCATTCTTTTTATTTTATTATATGTTCTTGTTAAATTAATCTCGATTGGGTTATACCTTGAGTATTTAAATCTAAGGTAGAATATTTCTATTTACTTTTGCACATAAATTAAAGTTAATATGTTATTTATAAAATTATGATGAATGTGAAGTAAAACTAGTTTTGGCCTTCCATAGGCATTTCACCTAGCGACACAGCTTTATAGTAAATTAGGGATGGCAATGGGTCGAGTTGGGGACGGATAGTGCATATCTGTTACCCTACCCAAAGTAGTTCGGATTTTACCCATACCCATACCCACATAAGAAATGGGTAGAAAATCAAAACCATACCCATACCCTTTCGGGTATCCACGGTTATCCATGGGTAATAATTTCTCTTTATAACTCCAACTAATATGTTAATATTCACACGTATTCTCTCATTACATAAGACGAAAAGTATGACACTTATTCACTAGAATGAAGAAAATTAATTAAAACAACACAATTTTATGAAAATATTATCTTTATATACTAAATTTAAAATACGTTAGAGAAAAATAATGATTATTTTTAGACAAAATACATATGTATGTGTATAATCGGGCGGGTTCGGGTTGGATAGTGAGAAAACCATGCCCGCCCATCACCCGCAATGTTCGGGTTCGGGTTTTACCCGTACCCACTAAAAGTCTTTCGGATTCGGGTTTTACCCTAACCAATTAGGTCGGATTCGGCCGATATCCATGGTTACGGATATTTTTGCCATCTCTATAGTAAATTAGTAATTAGTTAAAGAGAGAGTTCAAGGACTATTACTAAGGAAAATTACTCTGTAAATAAGTCGGTGAATTCGTAATGCTTACGGATCCAAGCTCCGAATAAATCACTTTTATTTTATTTTTAGAGTGGATTTATTTATCAATTTAGTGCGTTATCTATTTTTCTTTTATCATATACTCAAAAGTGAACAGAGAGATAATTGTATTTTAGTCTTCTTGTTGTTTTGCAGTCACAGCTTGTGAATCTAGTGTGGCTTGACCTCTCCGACAGATAAATTTAGAAGAAATTCCAAACCTATCGGGGTCTTCAAAGTTGGAGCGGAGCGCCTCTTTCTCAAGGGATGCAAAAGGCTAATTGAGCTACCATCTCACGTTCAAGATCTGGACAAACTGGTAGTATTAGACCTCGATGGTTGTACAAATCTGCGGAGCCTTCCACCCAAACTCAACTCAAAGTTTCTCAATAAGGTTCACTTATCCAAGTGTCCCAAGATCACTCGTTGTCCTGAAATTAATTCAACAAAAATGGAGATTTTGGATTTAATGGAGACACCTGTCATAGTCTTGCCACGTGCAATTTATAATATCAAGAGGGGTGGCCTCCTAGTTCTATGCGGCAAACACATCACCTGCTTCACCTCGATCTCAGCAAGCTTGCAAGGATGTCGGCTATGCCATACCACAATAACAAGGATAGATTGTTATGATGGTGATGATGATCATCAGCTGGCTTCTTTGCCAAGATTTGTCCAGCTGGAGTTGCTTGACAACCCCCAACTCAAGAGCTTGTCATGGAATATATAGAACATGGTTTCTCAAGAGCTCATTCTCCATCATTGCCCGTTGATTGAAACTTTGCCTGAAATCTCACAGCCTGTGACCGGCTTAACTCAGCTTTCTATAAAAGGATGTCGTAACCTGAAGAGCTTTCCAACCGGCATCAACAATCTGAAATCTTTGCAGGTCCTTTTTTTCATTGACACAAATATTGAGTCTGTGCCTTCAGCTATTGTGGAACTTGACCAGCTCACACATTTAGACTTGTGTTCCAACAAAAGCTTAGAGTCTGTCCCAAGTGACATCCATAAGCTTGTCAAGTTATCCTTCTTCTCCTTGGCGGGCTGTTCGAGGATTAAATCCTTGCCGGAACTCCCTCCCAATCTTCTAACTTTTGATGTAGGTGGTTGCACATTGTTACAAGCCTTACCAAGCAACATAGGCAAGCTGCAATGGAAGGAACTGTGGTTTGAAAATTGCCCTCAATTAGATTCGTATCTTCCTCAAGAAGTAGTGCTTAATTTCCGTAATCATGCAACGCCAAATCTATATCCTCAGGTATTTACACATTTCTTTACATCTCATGCAATTCTTGAAGATCCTTTTTATAAGAGTGCCTCTTAGTTGGTCTTAGGGTGCTCTTCAACGTTCTGGAAGTGAAATCCCAGGGTGGTATGCTTACAATAGCCCGAATTATGCAAGTGATTCATGTACGATGGTGCAATTGACTCTTCCAAACTGCACTACTAATCGACTAATCAAAGGGATTGCATTTAGCGTTGTGTTTTCCTCGGATATTGGGGTTGTTTGGATATCCATCACTTGCGATTGCAACATTGGCACCACTGCCGCTGCCTATTGGAGTTCTCCCAATTTTGGTTTGGGCCTGACCCGATCGGATAACGTATACACATGGTACGACAAGAACTTGTCAGGTCAGATAATGAATGGAATACGAGAAGAAGCAGAGCCTTGGTATGCGAGATACGCTGGGCTCACTGTTCTCTTCAGATTTTCCCTTCAACCAGGCCTGACAGAAGATGGTGAGGGTGAAGATCCCAAGAAAATAAAGAACATCAAAATCAAAAGGGCAGGCGTCACCCTACTGTACTAACTACGGAAGCCAGTTTGGTGGTCACTCAATGGGGATGAGGAGAATGGACAAACAATTTTCTGGGTTCTAGGTTCATTTGAAGGACTCCTTCTCCCTAGTTGCTTTCCATTGCCAGGTTGCATGATCCTCTTCTTTCTCCCTTCAGCTGCACCATCACCAAAGATATGATGGTCGCTCCAAGTTTCAGAAGGATCAAAGTGCGGCAGATTAGAAGTTGTGGGTGTTTTTTGTAAATAGGCAGCCACTTTGTAAATAGGTTATTCTTTGTTTCAGCCGATACGACACCGTTTCTCTTTAGCTCCGGTGTTCCAGCGGAGAGAGACACCCGTATCATCTTCGTCAAACCCGTCTCTACCGATTACAAGAAGCTTTCCTTGGACGATTCCAAGCTGTTTCAGGACATCGAGGGAGCTTCGGTTGCTACTACCCGATGTTGATTTAGACGGGGAATGAAAGCTTTGGGTTCATGCGTGGTTGGCTGACTGTTTCCGCTCAGATTTCTCGCCATGTGAGAAGCGCATCCCCATGATTTCACTCTCTGGCAATGGCGGATGATTGGTCGTTGTTGTCTATCGGTCTGTTTTCTTCTATCATTTTCAATGTGATCAGGTATTTGCTCTGTAGCATGTCTTCACTGCGGGTCCTTTGTTTGGTAGAAGAAATCTGAACTGCAACTAGGATTTGGATGTTTAGAAACGAAGAATTTAGGGTCACAACAATCATCACTTTAAGCTGAAGCTTTTTGAAATATGTTGCTGAAATTTTATTCATGGGAGAAATCTGAACTGCGAACAAGATTAATAGTGTTGTGATGAATAATTTTAAACAAATGTTAGGTTATATGTTTGGATGACACTCAATGTTAGCAAGAAGTTTGGATTGCTTGACCAGTATCATTCTCATTTGGATGGTGACAAGAGGTTCCCATTCATGTTGTATATATACGCGTTACTGGTATTAATTTCTGGCTAGGAATTTTGAAATGGGAAGATGGTGTTTTGTGTATATTGATTAGAGAAGGTGAGGAAGCAAAAACTAAACAATGATCCGATTAAGAAGAAAAAGTCAACCTGCAACAAATGCTCAGAAACTTCAATTATTAGCTGTTAGAAAATGTTTGTCCCTTTGAGTCAACCCAATCAGAAATAACAAAGATCAAGATCCCCCACTCCAATGGCTTCCTCCTCTACCAAAGCTTTACTGGCAATTTCCTTTCACTTTCCTCTGGACGAATTTGACAGCTGAAACCATTGGGAAGCAAACGATTCCCTTCTTCCCCCAGCCATAGAAGTGCCCCTTCTTAGCTAAGAAAGAAACCCAAACTTCCCCTAGACAGCAACCTGAGATACCAACAGAAAATCAATGGTTGCTTCTTCTTCTTCTTATTATTATTATCCTCCTTCATCTCATCATCCTGATTCCTCCTCATACATTGGGTAATGGGAATATGATGTTTTCTTGTGCTTCCGAGGTGCCAACACCCGCCATGGTTTTACCAGCCACCTCATGGCTGCTCTCTCTGACAAGCAAATCAAAGCCTTCATCGACGACAAGCTGGAGAAAACTGAGAGCATCGGCGAGCTAATCTCCGTCATCCAACGATGCGCCCTCTCAATTGTGATTTTCTCGGAGAATTTCACTGAGTTAAGCTGGTGATTGGATGAAGTGGCCACCATAGCTCAAAGGATGCAAAAGTTCGGGCATCAGGTGCTTCCAGTTTTCTACTGTTGAAAGATACTTACTGCTAATGCTTTATTGTAGTTAGCGGTAACAGATAGCCCTAGTCTAATTGTAGAAAGATTAGATAATATAATATATTTCAGTTAAGGTAGGTCTCACCTAACCTAGCTTATATATTCTCTCACTCTGTAAATCATGAGATATACGAAAAAAAGCAGAATTCTCTAAAACCCTACTTTGTTCTTGTTCTCTCCTAAACTTTGATATGGTATCAGAGCTGTCGGTTCTTCCTTCCGCTGCTGCCGGCAGTAACTTCGTTCTGTCATGAGCACAGACGAAGATTCACCCGATTCTTCTTCTTCCTCTTCTACTATCCAATCTACCAACTCCAAAATAGAGAGTATGGCCACATCAAACAATGATTCAGGCACAGAATCAAGCTCTGGAGGAATCACCATCAGAAAATTCCATGGGAAGAATTACCTCCAGTGGTCTCAATCTGTCCGGATGTTCTTCACTGGGAAGCAAAAGGGGGAATATCTTACTGGTACTGCAACTAGACCAGCGGAATCTGATGCTGCTGCTTCACCAAGTGGAACAACGACGACAACCAAGTCCGGTTCTGGCTTATTTCCATAATGGAACCAGACATCGGAGACAATTACCTACTGCATCAATCTGCCAAAGAGCTATGGGCTGATGTAGAGGAGACATATTCCACACAAGACAACTCTTCTACCTTGTTCGAAGTAGAGTTAAAACTCTTCAACTTCAAACAAGGGACGATGAGTGCTACAGAATACTACAACCGATTAGTCCAAAGCTGGCTTCAACTTGATTTGTATGAAGCTCAGAAATGGGAAACGATGGCTGATGCAAAAACGTTTCGGATGTTTGTGGAAAAGAAGCGAACAATTCAGTTCCTCCTTGGCCTCAACCAAAATCTAGATGCAGCTAAAAGCAGGATCATGGGAACAAAGCCTTTCCCGAGTTTGAAGGAAGCGTTTGCTGAAGTGTTGAGGGAGTAAGGTCGTTGCCATCTTATGCTTGCAGAGTCAAAGTCCACTTCAGATAACTCGAGCTCTGCCCTAACAACAGAAACAGCCACAACACTTGTTTCTCAGAATAACAAGGGAAAGGGAAAACCGAGAACCAACTCGGATGCTGCAGCAAAATGGTGCGATTTTTGCAAGCAACAATTTCATACAAAAGATGAATGTTGGGAAATTATCGGCAGACCACCAGGATGGAAATCTAAGATGGGTCGTCAGAAAGGACGTGCTAATACAGCAACCAGCAAGGATACAGAGGAAGAAGGTCAATTTTCGAAAGGGCAGTTGGAAGCTCTTCAGAAGATGTTCACTCAGGTACTTCAGGCTGAATCAAAACCGAAAGGCTACATAACCCAGCTGTTTGAAAAATCAGGTATTCCTCAAGCTCACACTTCACATCGGAATTCTAAGAATCTATGGATTCTAGACTCAGGTGCCACAGATAATATGACGGGTTGTAAGGACCTAATACAGAACTTACAGCCCTATCCTAGGAAAACTGGGGTTCGTATTGCTGATGGGACCATTGCTCCTGTTGAAGGATTTGGTATAGTTCGGGTGACTAAGGACTTCACTCTCTGTCCTTTACTCTATGTACCAAAACTTGACTGCAACCTCCTATCTGTTCCACGAGTTACTCATGACCTCCACTGTGAAGCTAAGTTCACCCCCAATGGTTGTGTATTGCAGGAAGTGGGGATGAAGAGGACGATTGGCAGTGGTGAACTTTATGATGGGCTGTATCTTTTGCGGGGTACGACGGATGTGGAGCATCACTATGGAGATAGTAGTAGTGCACATGCTGTCTCTAGCATAGAGAACAATAAGAATACAGTTTATTTGTGGCATTGTAGGCTTGGTCATCCTAGTTTTCCTTATCTTGAGAAGTTGTTTCCAACACTGTTTCAGAATAAAAGTTCCAAGGATTTTGAATGTGAAGTGTGTCAACTTGCTAAACATACTCGATCTGTGTATTCGGGAATTGGCTATCGACCTACCACACCGTTCAGTGTTGTGCATAGTGACATATGGGGACCTATGAAAATCAGAAACATCAATGGTGCCAAGTGGTTCATCACCTTCATTGATGATCACACTCGGTTAACTTAGACGTTTTTTTATGAAAGAGAAGAATGAAACTGCTGGTATCTTTCAGAACTTCCATACCATGGTGGCTACTCAGTTTCAAACCCAAATTCAGGTATTGAAAACTGACAATGCTCACGATTATTTCAATAAGACTCTTGGGGTCTTTTTGCAGACACACGGCATTATACATGCTAGTTCTTGCGTCGACACACCTCAGCAAAATGGCATTGCTGAACGCAAGAACAGACATTTGCTCGATGTTGCCCGTGCACTCATGTTTACTCATCATGTCCCTAAGCATCTGTGGGGGGAGGCTGTTCTTACAGCAACTTACCTTATCAACCGGATGCCGAGCAGGGTCTTACAGTTCCAAACCCCACGACATGTTCTTCTCGACACCTATCCTCACATGAAAAATTACTCTTCCGACCTCCCTCCAAAGGTGTTTGGGTGCACAGTTTTCATCCACAATTCTGCCCCAAATCGGTCTAAGTTGGATCCAAGATCTCACAAAGGGGTCTTTATTGGTTATTCTTCCACACATAAGGGCTATAAGTGTTTTGTTCCACATACCAGACGGATCTACACGACTCGTGATGTCACATTCTTCGAGTCACAGCCCTTCTTCACCACGGCTATGCCTCAGGGGGAGAGTTCTCATGATTCATCTAGTTCGATTGATGCACAACAGTCTGGGCAGCAGGTTTTTGTTGATCTCATTACCTTGGATACTGACTTTGATGAGCCTCCCACACCAACTCAGGGGGAGCATCTAGTAGTAGAGAAGCCACTACTAGTATATCAAAGAAGGAACAAGGTTCCAAGTACAAATGTGGAAGATGAGACTAATGCCGAAGTGGAAAATGACACTAATGCAGAATTGGAAGATATGGAAGATGATTCTAGTGCAGATCATGATGTGGTGCTAGAGGAACTTGGAGATGATACTACAACAGTAGGAGTGGAAGATATACCTATTGCTCTTAGAAAGGGAGTTCGAAACTGTACTAAGACTCCTAAGTATCCTATTGCTCGACATGTCAACTATGACCGTCATAGCAAATCCCACAGAATCTTTATATCTGCTCTAGAGGAAGAACATGTGCCAAAGGATATTCATGAAGCAATGAAACATCCTAAATGGAGAGCTACAGTCATGGAGGAATTAAGGGCATTGGAGGAAAATGCTACTTGGGATATTGTATCCCTTCCTGCCGGGAAGAATACTGTTAGCTGCAAATGGATATTCACAATCAAATATAAGGCAAATGGTTCGATTGAGAGATACAAGGCAAGACTAGTTGCACGAGGATTTACTCAAGAACATGGTGTGGACTATGATGAGACCTTTGCACTAGTGGCAAAGCTTAACACAGTAAGGGTACTCCTCTCTCTTGCTGTGAACCTTGATTGGCCATTACACCAACTTGATATTAAAAATGCTTTCCTCAATGGATACCTTGTTGAAGAAGTTTACATGATGTTTCCTCCTGGAGTGAAAAATCCAGTAAAAGGACAAGTTTGCAGACTCAAGAAGGCTTTGTATGGGTTGAAGCAATCACCACGTGCATGGTTTGACAAGTTCACCAAGGCTGTTAAACAAGGTGGATACTACCAATGTCAAACAGATCACACCCTGTTTGTGAAACACTCATCTACTATGAAGCTTTCAATTTTGATAGTTTACGTGGATGATATCATAATTACTGGGGATGATACAGAAGAAATTGCTAGACTGAAAGCTCAGCTTGCAGAGGAATTTGAAATAAAAGATCTAGGAAATCTGAAATATTTTCTAGGAATGGAGGTGTCGAGATCGCAACAAGGAATTGTGATCTCTCAACGGAAATATGTGCTCGACTTGCTCAAGGAAGTGGGAATGCTCGGATGTAAGCCGATTGATACACCCATGGAGCAGAACAAAGTGTTGAGTAGGAGTCAAGACATTCCATTAGTGGAGGAGGGAAGCTACCAACGTCTGGTAGGTAAGCTTATATACCTTGCTCACACTCGTCCTAACATTACCTTTGCTGTTGGAATTGTGAGTCAACATATGCAATGCCCAAATGAAGAGCATATGCAAATGGTAATCACAATTCTAAGATACCTTAAGGGTGCCCCAGGAAAAGGAATTCATTTCAAGAAAATGACTCACAGAAGGATAACAGTGTATACTGATGCTAGCTGGGCTGGAGAGCTCACTGAGAGAAGATCTGTTACTGGTTACTGCAGCTATGTTTGGGGCAATCTAGTTACTTGGTGAAGCAAGAAACAGAAGGTTGTTGCACGAAGTAGTGCAGAAGCAGAATATAGAGCCTTAGCTCTCTGCATGTGTGAGGGCATTTGGATTAAACGAGTTCTAGAGGAATTGAAGATTCCTCATGAAAGTCCTATGAAGCTACTATGTGACAGTCAAGCTGCAATTAGTATAGTTAGGAATCCAGTCCATCATGATCGAACTAAACATGTGGAATTGGATCGACACTTTATCACTGACAATGTCAACACTGGAATGATTCAGGTTGAATATGTTCCTTCAAAGCAGCAGACTGCAGATGTTTTGACAAAGCCATTATCAAGAGACATGTTCGAGGCTCTAATGGGCAAGCTTGGGTTGATTAACATCTACACCAAGCTTGTGGGGGAGTGTTGAAAGATACTTACTGCTAATGCTTTATTGTAGTTAGCGGTAACAGCTAGCCCTAGTCTAATTGTAGAAAGATTAGATAATATAATATATTTCAGTTAAGGTAGGTCTCACCTAACCTAGCTTATATATTCTCTCACTCTGTAAATCATGAGATATACGGGGGAAAAAAGCAGAATTCTCTAAAACCCTACTTTGTTCTTGTTCTCTCCTAAACTTTGATATCTACAAAGTGGATCCATCAGATGTATCAGGGGATTCGGGAAGTTATGCTGCTGCCATTGAGCAGAATCATAGAGCTAGCAAATCCCCGGAGGACAGGAAGAGATGGATGGATGCTTTCAAAGTCGTCGCTAATTGTGCTGGCTATACTTCACAGGCAATCAAGTAAGTCTAACTTAATTCTTAATTAAGAGCCACCCTTTTTACTAATACTAGTTGCTTCTCTCAACATGACTTCCCTTTTCTCATCTGGATTCCTTCCCCCCCCCCCCCCCCCCCCCCTTCTTTCCCCTTTCTGGTTATTAGGATTGATTCTGAACTAGTTGAGGTGATAGTTATTGATGTTCCTATACGACTCGCAGAGATTTCTAAGAGAGTGAAGTTTGATCACTTCGTTGGCATGGATGCTCGAGTTTCTGAGATTGAACAAATATTAGCTATGAATGTAGATGATTTCCGCATCATTGGTCTTTGGGGAATGGGTGGTGTAGGAAAGACCACTCTGGCTAAAGCTTGCTATCAATCATTTGTGCCCTCTAGAAAAGAAATCAAGCATCACTTTATTCTGAACGTCAATGAGAAGCTTGAAAAGCAAATTGGGGTTGAAGGAATGGTGCAAGAACTCTATTCGATTTTATTGTCGGAGACTAATTTAAACTGCCACAATCTGGATATTGGATATAGAAGGGAACGTCTTTCTCGCCTGAGGGTGTTCGTTGTTCTTGATAATGTGGAAACAGTGCCACAATTAGAATAGTTGTTGCTGGGTGATATTTTGAATTCCACAAATCTCTTTGCCCCAGGGAGTAGGATTATTGTCACAACTAGAAACCGAAGAGTACTTGAGAATGCAAGGGCACACATATATGATGTCAGGTGTTTGCATTCTCATGAATCACTTCGGCTGTTTTGGGTACATGCATTTAGACAATGCCTTCCACCGAATGATTATGTGGATCTATCTTGTGTTGCCGTATCATACTGCAAGGGAATCCCTTTAGCTATAAAAGTGTTGGGATGTGCATTGCTTAATAGGGAGAAAAGTTATTGGGAGAGCTTCTTGTCTGAATTGGGGAAAAATCCAAAGTTGGAAATTCATGATGTTCTTAGGAGAAGCTACAATGAGCTTGAAATTGCAGAGAAGAGAGTGTTTTTGGATATTGCTCGTTTTCTTGAAGGGGCTGCAAAATCTCTAGTGAATAAATATTTTTCCACTAGCTACGTAGAGGATTTAATTGATAAGTCATTGCTTAGCTATGTCTTCGATGAAGACATAGGTCGAGCGCATATCGAGTTTCATGACTTGCTAAGAGAAATGGCCTGGGCCATAGTAGGCGAGGAATCAAAACTTGAAAAACGCACTAGATTGCATAATTATGATGACATTCACAAGTTATTGACACTTGGAAAGGTCAAAACATCAACAAGATTCAACTGTTTGAACATTATGAAAGCGAAAGAGAAGCACATCAGTGCCTTCAAGGGAGGCTTAGCTACTGAAGGCATTCGTTTGAACCTTTCTGAAGCAAAAGATATGCATATCGGAGCCAATGCCTTTAAATGGATGACTTCTCTTAGGTATCTCAGCTTCTTCTATCCAGGAAATAAATATGGAACTTCTGACCTTTATCTACCATACGGTGGCCTTGTCACCCTTCCGGACAGTCTAACATGGTTGGAGTGGTACAAATTTCCTTCAAAATCTCTACCATCAAGATTTTCTCCAGAAAACCTCGTCACACTTTCTCTACGTGGTAGCCCAATACTGAAAAGATGCTGGGAAGCTGAGGTATGTTAAAAGCAATTACGGGCTATACCTGTTAATTTAAACTTGATCAGTCTATACCTTGTGTCTTTAACTTACCTTTTTCACAAAAAATTTAACGTTTATGATATTTGTAAAATTATAATCACTGATATGTAATGAAGCAAACTAGTTTAGGCATTTCGTTGTCATGCCGCCACCTGGGAGACTGCGCTTTGCTACGATGTTGAAAGGTCTATGGTTTGGTAGTAAAATTAGTAAACGAGGGTGTAAGGACTTACCTTTGAAGAGGAAGAATTACTTGGTAAATAAGTCGGTGAATTTCTTGTCCCAAATTCTTTCTATAATGCATTATCTATCTTTTATTTGCTCAAAAGTCAAAAGAAAGATTGTTACATTTTAGTCTTGTTGTTTTACAGCCACAGCTGGTGAATCTAGTGTGGCTTGACCTCTCTCGCTGCATAAATTTAGTAGCAATCCCAAACCTGTCGGGGTCTCAGAAAGTGGAGTATCTTTATCTTCGAGGATGCAAAAGGTTGATTGAGCTACCATCTCACATTCAATATCTGGACAAGCCGATCTTCCTGGACGTCGACGAGTGTACAAGTCTAAGGCATCTTCCTCCGAAACTCAACTCAAAGTTCCTCCAATGTATTTGGTTGTCCAACTGTCCCCAGCTCACTCGTTGTCCTGAGATCAATTCAGGAGAGTTGCTGCATTTGGATTTAAAGGAGACACCTGTCACAGCCTTGCCGGCTGCGATTTGCAATAGCAAGCAGGGTGGCTTCCTACGTCTATGCGGCAGACACATCACCTGCTTCCCTGCAATTTCAGCAAGCTTGGAATTGTTTCGGCTGTGCCATACCACAATAAAAGATATGGATTGTTATGATGTTGATCATCATCAGCATGGTTCTTTGCCAAGATTTGTCGAACTGGAGTTGGTTGGCAACCCCCAACTCAAGAGCTTGTCAAAGAATATCTGGAACATGGTCTCTCAATCGCTCCTTCTTCAAGATTGCCCGTCCATTGAAACTTTGCCGGAAATCTCCCTGCCTATGGCTGGGTTAACTCAGCTTAGTATAATAGGATGTCGGAACCTAAAGAGCTTTCCAACTTGTATCAACAACCTGAAATCTTTGCGGGAATTATGTTTCACTGGTACGAATACTAAGTCCCTTCCTTCTTTTGTCCATGGCCTTAACCAGCTGTTAGCTCTAGATTTGTCCGACAACAAATGCCTAGAATCCATCCCCAACATCCATAAGCTTGCCAAGTTGTTCCACTTGTACTTGTCAGGCTGTTCGAGGATTAAATTTTTGCCAGAACTCCCACATAGTCTTCTAAGTTTGGATGTAAGTGGTTGCACATTGTTACAAGCCTTACCAAGCAACGTAGGCAGGCTGAGATGGAATGAACTGTACTTTGAAGACTGCTCGCAATTGGACCCGAAGCTACCTACAGAAATGGTGCTTAATTTCCCTAATCATGCAGCATTGAATCAGTACTCTGAGGTATTTAATTATTGTACTATAATTAAGTTTGCTATGTATATTATTAAGGTGGCGAAATGTTTTAAATATACCTTTTAATGATAGTGGCTCTCTGTTGTTGATAGGGTGTTTTGCAGTATTCTGGGAGTCGGATTCCAGGATGGTTTGCTTACAAAAGCGTGAATGATAAGAATGATTCATGTATGACGGTGCAGTTTCCTCCTTCAGACTGCAGTACTGAGCGAATAATCAAAGGGATTGCATTTGGCATTGTGTGTTCGTCAGATATTGGGTGTGTCGAGATATCTATTACTTGTGATTACGATATCGGCACCATTGCCGTTGCCTATCGGATAACCCTATATATATGGTACGACACTAACTTATTAGGCAAGATGAAGAATGGAATACGAGAAGAAGCAAAACCTTGGTATGAGAGATATTCTGCTGGCCATTCTGGTATTTCTTTCAAGTTTTCCCTCAAAGCGGTCAGGGAGAAGATCCCAGGAGATTAAAGAGCATCAAAATAAAAAGGATTGGCGTCTCTCTACTGTACTAACTGCTAATAGGTTTGATGGTCTATGGGATGACGATTCAAGCAATGGTTTATTTTTCGTTTGGGATGCTGAATGTCCCTTTCGTAACACATTTTAGAGATTCTGTAATTTGATGTGTTTTTTTTTTTATCAGAATTCTTTCTAGGCCTCCAACACATTGTTATCCTCAATTTTGGAATTTCATGTTCTGCAAACAGAAACTCTAGAACCGTAGGTTTGGCTTATGTAGAGATGTCAGTTGTGCGATATGATGGGTGCGTTGTTTCCTCTGAGATTATACCATCAAAAGCAGTGATGGAAGAAGATGACCGGACAAAATGTTGATGTTGTTGGCTTGTTTCCCTGTAAAAGGTGCTTCTTCCTTAAACAGCTCTTTTTGGGTAGTCGCTGCTTTATATGTGTGATTGTATCTGCATCAGAACCGTTCCTTTTCTTCTCGGCCTCCAACAAGTTTGTATCATCTGAGTAACAACTATAAGAATGAAATCATATCTCAGTTGGTTTGGTGAGAAATTCCACTACTAATACTTCGTTTTCGTTCTTGGCTCTTTAGTTCTTCACTGTGAAACTGGGCTGCAGACTCTGCATTTGCATATGGATTGAAGAGAAGAAGAGGGTAACGAGAGAGAACATAGAGATTGGGAATTGTGGGGAAAAGAGTTCTGTAACTCGCTTCCACTATTCCATGAAAGCACAAGTCCGTGGTGGAGCTCCATGGCTCCAGCGCTATTCCTGGCCATTCGGGATTCAGGAGAGTTGGAGGCTTTGGATTGAGATGACACCACCCAGTCAACCATGGCGGGATGGCAAGTCTCTGGGGCCAAAGGCTTTTTGACACAGGAACTGCTGTGGAAGAAGAGTGACAACGGTTCTGAATTTGGCAACCTGGACAAGACGTTTCTCTCTGCGGGTAAATTATTTTTTCTACAATGCCGTGTTTGTTTGGGTGGACAGAAATTTATTCATACGCCATAAGGGGAACGGGCAGTAAGACCCTTCTTCGCCCAGCTACAACAGAAGTTCCTTCTTGATAAGGTAGACATCCAACCTTCCCTTACAGAAAATCAATGGCTGCTTCTTCTTCTACTAGTGTTCCTTCGTCTCATTGTCCTGATTCCCCCTCTTACTCTGGGAAATGGGAATACGACGTCTTCCTGTGTTTCAGAGGCGCCGACACTCGGAGGGATTTTACCAGCCACCTCATGGCTGCTTTTGCCCGCGGGAAAATCAAAGCCTTCATGGATGGCATGCTCGACAAGACTGAGAGCATCGACGAGCTAATCTCCGTCCTCCAAAGATCCGCACTCTCAATTGTGATTTTCTCGGAGAGTTTCGCGGAATCCTCCTGGTGCTTGGAAGAGGTTGCCACCATAGCCCCAAGGATGCGAGATTTCGGGCATCGGGTGCTTCCAGTTTTCTACAAAGTGGATCCTTCTGATGTATCAGAGGATTCTGGAAGTTACGCTGCTACCATTGAGCAGAAGCATGGAGCTAGCAAATCTCCGGATGATAGGAAGAAGTAGATGGATGCATTGAAAGCTGTGGCTAATTTTGTTGGCTATACTACAGACGCAACCAAGTAAGTCTTCATTGCTTCCTAAAGAGACTGCCTTCTTACTAAAATAATTTGCTTCTCATGACATGATCATTCCCTTTTTCTCATTTGTTTTTTTCCCTTTTATTTTATCCTTTGGATCCTTAGGATTGAGTCTGAACTAGTTGAGGCGATAGTTGGTGATGTTCGGAAAAGACTCACAAGGATGTCACCGAGTGTGCAGTTTGATACGTTGATTGGCATGGATGCTCTTGTTTCCGAGGTTCAACAACTATTAGCTATGAACATAGATGATTTTCGCATCATTGGACTTTGGGGGATGGGTGGTGTAGGAAAGACGACTCTGGCTAAAGCTTGCTATCAATCATTTGTGTGCTCCAGTGAAGATATAAAATATCACTTTGTCCAGGACATCAATGGGAGACTTGGAAAGCAATGTGGGATTGAAGGGGTGGTACAAGAACTCTATTCGATATTATTGTCGGAGAATAACTTAAAGTATCAAAACCTAGATATCAGTTATAGAAGGGATCGTCTCTCCCGCTTGAGGGTGTTCCTGGTTCTTGACAATGTGGAAACATTATTCCAGTTGGAGAAGTTGTTGTTGGGGGACATTCTAACAAAAAATCTCTTTGGCCCGGGTAGCAGAATTATTTTGACAACTAGAAACCGGAGAGCAATCGAGAGTGCAGGGGCTTGTGTATATGATGTGAAGTGTTTGCATTATCATGAATCGTTCTAGCTGTTTGGGATACATGTATTTAGGCAATGCATTCCTCCGGATGATTATGTGGATCTATCGAGTGTGGCTGTATCATACTGCAAGGGAAGCCCTTTAGCCATAAAAGTCTTGAGAGGTGCATTGTTTCGTAGGGATAAAAGTTATTGGCAGAGTTTCTTGTGTGAATTTGAAAAAATTTCAACACCAGAAATCGGCAATGTGCTTAGGAGGAGCTATGATTTGCTTGGAGTTGATGAGAGGCAAATGTTTCTGGATACTGCTTGTTTTTTGCAAGGGAATTTGAAATCTTTAGTGATTTCATATTTTTCCACTAGTTATCAGCATGCCAATCATGTAAGAGAGGATCTAATTGGTAAGTCCTTGTTCATCAGTGCCTCTGGCAAAGATGGCAAGAGGATTGAGGTTCATGACTTGCTGATAGAAATGGCTTGGAGTATAGTTAATGAGGAATCAAAATTTGAAAAGAGCACTAGATTGGAAGATTATGATGATATTCACAAGTTATTGACCATCCAAAAGGTCATAAAAATGGGAGCATTATGTTTGAACATTTTCAAAGCCAAGGAGAAACACAATACTGTCTTTGAGACAGGTAGAGCAACTGAAGGCATCAGTTTGGACCTTTCCAAAGCCAATGCGATGCATTTGAAATACAACACCTTTGAAGGAATGACTTCTCTGAGATATTTCAGCTTCTTCTATCCGGTAAATGAGTATAGAGCTTCCAAGATTCGTGTACCATATTGTGGCCTTAATACCCTTCCAAACAGTTTAAGGTGGTTGCAGTGGAAAAAATTCCCATCAAAGTCTCTACCATCAATATTTTCTCCTGAAAACCTCGTCGTCCTTCACATGTGTCATAGCCAGACACTGAAGCGTTGCTGGAAAATTCAGGTATGTCAAAAACATTTGTATGTGATGAGTTCGAGCATGGATTTATTATCCAAAAACAAGTCATTTTACACCCTTGGATTCTCCCAAACTTGGGAAAATGATGGTAAAGTTACCACCATAGTGAAAAATGAGCTTGTAACTCTGGGTGCGTCGTGAACACTCAAAGGGAAGGAAAACAAATATTATTATGTAGAACATCAGATTTTTCTGGGTAGAAATACTAATATCAGGATGAAATAATATTCGTGGAAGAAAAGAAAATGAATGAATGAAGTCGCACTTCTTTTTTGCTTGTCTAACAAATGGTTATTTCATTGCTCAAGTGGTTTCTGCAGGGCATTCTTTTTCATTTACTCAAAGTAGGATTATTAGATTTACCCTTGTTTTATCTTCTTGTTCTTCTGCAGCCAAAGCTTGTGAATCTAGTGTGGCTTGACCTCTCGTACTGCAAAAATTTAGTTGCAGTCCCGGACTTGTCTCGGTGTCCAAATCTCGAGCACCTTTATCTTCAAGGATGCAAAAGCCTATCTGAGCTACCATCTCACGTTCAAGATATGGACAGGCTGATAGCACTAGACCTTCGAGATTGTACAAACCTGAGGATCCTTCCGCCCAAACTCAACTCCAAGTTCCTCAATCATCTTCGTCTGTCCAACTGTCCCAAGATTACTTGTTGTCCAGAGATCAGTTCAAGAGAGTTGGAGATCTTGGATTTAATGGAGACACCTGTCAAAGCATTGCCGAGTGCAATTCACAATATCAAGCAAGATGGCTCCCTATTTCTGGGCAGCAAACGCATCACCAGCTTCCTCGCGATTTCAGCAAGCTTGAATCAGTTTCAGCTGTGCCATACCACAATAAGAGAGATGGCTTGTTATGATGATGATCATCAGAGTTATTTGCCAAGATTTGTTCAATTGGAGTTAGTTGACAACCCTCAACTCAAGAGCTTGTCAAGGAATATCTGGAAGATGGTCTCTCAAACACTCCTCCTCGAAGATTGCCCACTGATTGAAAGTTTGCCAGAACTCAAACAGCCTGATAATGGCCTGACTGATCTTAGTATAAGGGGATGTCGAAACCTGAAGAGTCTTCCATCTGGCATCGACAATTTGAAATCTTTGCAGAGCCTCCGTTTCTGTGGCACCAATATTAAGTCCCTGCCTGCTTGTATCCAGGAATTTAACCAGCTCTCCTGGTTAGATTTTTCTTTCAACAAAAGGCTGGAGTTCATCTCCTGCAACATGCATGCACTTGCCCAGTTATCCACCTTGTACTTGACGGGCTGCTTGAAGATTCAATCTTTGCAGGAACTCCTGCCCAATCTTCTAGTTTTAGGTGTAGGTGGTTGCAAATCATTACGAGCCTTACCAAGCAACATATGCAGACTGAGATTGAAGGAATTGTACTTTGAAGATTGTCCGAAATTGGGCTCGAATCTGTCGAAAGAAATAGTGCGTAGTTTCCCTAATCATGCTACGCGGAACCTACATCCTCAGGTATACCTCCTGAACATTACAGTACTATAATAATGCAATATTTATGATTAGTAGTAGGGAACATTTTAAATATCTTTTTATGACAGTGACTCTCTGCTGTTAACAGGGTGTTCTAAAATATTCGGGGAAGAAGATTCCAAAATGATTTACATTCAAAAGGTTGAATCATAAGATTCATTCATCTACGACGGTGCAATGTCCTATTCCAAACTACACCACTGACAGAGTGATCAGGGGAATTGCATTTGGTGTTGTGTGTTCTCCGGATACTCAGAAAACTGCCATGTCTATAAGTTGCGACTGCATCATCGGCACCACTTCCGCTGCCTCTTGGGGGTCTCCTGTTTTTGGAATGGGTCGGACCTATTCAGATTACGTATATGTGTGGTATGAGAAGAATATGTTGGGTGAGACCAATAAAGTAATACAAGAAGAAGCAGAACTTTGGTATGAAAGGTATTCTGGGCTCACTGTTTCTTTCAGATGTTCCCTTAAACCGTGCAGGGAAGAAGATGCCAAGAAATTAAAGAGCATCCACATCAAAAGCATTGGCGTCTCTCTACTGTATTAAACCGCTTATCCGCTACAATTTCATTTGACTGCGAGATATTGAAACCTGAATGCGACTGGTGGTGCATTTCTGTGGTCTGAACAGCACATTTCAGTTTTTGAGGATGATACTGAAGACGAAGCCTGGGTTTAATGAATAAGTTGGGGCTCTCTGTTTCCCTTCTCTCTCTGGTAAATGGCTTATGATTTGTTGGTATTGCGGCTATCTGTCTGTTCTCTTCTGTCCTTCCCACATTTTAGTATTTTGCATTTATATATCACAATATGCAGACATGTTTATGAACTCTAAACTGCAACTAGAATGAGATGTTTTGAAGTGAGGAATTTAGAAAAGACACAGATCAAAGATCCCCCACTCTAATGGTTTCCTCCTCGACCAAAGCTTTTAATGCCGCCTTCTTCATCTCATGAGGTTATGTACAGTGGAAAGTGGGAATACAATGTTTTCTTGTGTTTCAGGGGTGTCGATACCAGCTGCGATGGTTTCACTAACCATCTCATCTCATGGAAGCTCTCGCCCGCGAGCAAACCAAAGCATTCATCGACGACAAGCTCGACAAAACTGAGAGCATCAATGAGGAGCTGATCTTTGTTTTCCAAAGATCTGCACTCTCAACGTGATTTTCTCGGAGAATTTCACGGATTCAAGCTGGTGCTTGGATGAAGTGGCCACCATTTCTCAAAACATGGAAGAATTTGGACACCCGGTGCTTCCTGGTTGGCCTTCCCCAATTCCTACACGGTTAATTTCTGCTGGTCCCTGATCCAGTCTTTGCGCCCTATCAGTTGCAGAATTTCAGGCACCTCAACTTCTTCTGCTTTGTGAACCAGCCTCACCTCCAGATCCTCGGTCGCATTGGCAATGGACGTTTCGATGTTGTCGTCTTTGAGCTCCTTTAATGATTTCGTTGTCGGTGATGTGGAGTGCGATTCGCTCGACACCGACAAACAAGCTGGATTTGTGGATAGCTTGGAGTGACATTTTTCAAGCAGCCAAGCATTGTTTCGCTCAGCTGTTGGAGTAGTGAGGGAGAGGGATTATAAACTGATGCAGAGGATTTGGCATTGTTGCTCATGATTGACAGCTCTGGTATCAGGTTGCTTGAAGATGTTTTTTTTTGTTTTTTTTTTTTTTTTTGCAAAGTCAGGGGTTGAAATAGGCAGCCATACAAAAGAAATAAAAAGCGCGAGAATCGACCAGTAGTCGAACTCTCGATGAAAGGGCCTTTTGTGTCACAAGATGGGCAACCCTAATGAGTCGACGAAGAACAAAACAATAAGAAACACAACGAAAAAGAGAAGTCAAGCCCCGAATATCCTCCAGTAAAGCTCCACCTTGATCATGAGTCAAGTCACCTGGACACTATCATTCCACTTGACCACGAACGGAAGTTGTGCGAAAAAGTGTGGCATACGGAATCGACGCAACGGCCAGTAGGACGTAACTGTCGTAAAGAGGTAGATCTGGAATACCTGGGAGATGCCGGCAGGAAGGGGAAGCCAAACGGCAGCTACGAATCTCCGCACTCACAATTGTCCCCCATCATTTTCATCGCATAGGTCGGTGATGGTGGCGTGGCGGCAGGCACCAATCCGTAGCAGCAGCGGCAGGAGGCGATGAAGAAGATATACGATCACGGACCACCAAAACAAATTTCACAAGATTAAATTGTCAATAATCGATAACTAACATCAATAGAGATTGGAAAAAGAATTGATAGAGTAGAGGATCTTATTCTATTCAGGCCATATAAAGATCCTGAAAATCTCATTAAACGCCAAACTGCCGCAGGACGGAGGCTCATAGTCGTCGCAATTAAACGACGAGAAGTAGAATCGACTCCATGCTCCGATAAGAGATTTGTTTTTAAATTAGTGTTTCTTTTATTGATTCAAACAGGGAGGAGTTCTGCTCCTCAAACCACATAACAGAGGAGAAAGGAATAGAGAAATCAATTCTGACCTGACCGGCGAGCGTCAATTTCAAGCAGGGTGGCGTTTCGGATCAAAGCTTGATGGGCGAAGGTGCGGTCAGCGATGAACATGAAGAGCCATCGGCAGAATCAAGGATAGATTTCCAGATCCAACCATCACAAGCGCCAAAGCGTCAGACTCAGAAGCAATCACTCTCTATCGACTTCGCAGCGGAGTAAGGTTCGATGTCGGCAGTTCGATGATGGTGGAGGAGGATGAGATGAGGCGGCCAGTTCTACAATGGCTTTTCAGATGGGTGATATTGGGTATTATTTCTCTTTTACTGTAACTCGAAATTTTGCTTGAAGATGTTAACTGTGCGCTCCGCTAGATGATGATTCCGGACAGCCAACCTGATACCGTTGTTTGGCTAGATAGGCCTCTTATGTGTTTAATTAATCAGTTGCAGCTCGAGATAATGATTAATAAGTCTTTAAGTTTTAGAACACAGTCATTAGTTTTAGAATTAACAGTGATCTCCACAGATTCACAACAACATTTCTAAAGCTTCACTTTATAAGGACAGCTATCCATAATCTCCTGGATATCAGCAATTTACAAACACAAAATAATGATTTCCCTACAAACAAAATCCGAAATTACCAGTTTCCTCATCACTTTCAGAACCATCTTTCCGGTACTCAAAACTCTAATCCATATGACATTGTGGATACAAATACATTGAACATACATCAACTACGCACACAAGTCAATTGAACAAACAATAATAATCAAAGGACAAGCCTTTCGGTGATGTAACTTGAATCGGACTATCACTGAAATAGTTGGAAATAATGGTAAATGGCCATTACAAATAACCAAAAGAAAAAACGTCATAATAATGGTAAATGGCCATTACAAAAAACCAACATGTACTCACACTCATATTTATTCCTATTTCCCTCCTTTTTATTGAATAAACGTCATAATAATGGTAAATGGCCATTACAAATTATTGGTTGACATGTGTGTCAAAAGAAAAAAAAATTATTTGTTGATAAATAATTTTATTCTTATTGGTTTCTATTGATTTTTCGGTTTTAACCAAACCAAAACCATTAAGTTGCTTATTGGTTTAAAACCAAAAAACTGAAACCATTAGCTTTCCAATTGGTTTGGTTTCGGTTAAAACCAAATGGACAGCCCTGCCCGAGATACCTTGCAGGCTTTGTCATCAGAGCCCGTGATTCCGAATGGGATGGCTGATTCCGACGATGGCAGCCATGGTCTGGTTTGGGTTATCACTGGGAGAGCTCTCTGCCTCCGAACACCAGTTCCCGCTTCCAACAATGGCGAGGGCTTAAAAGAAATTAGTTTTATTTTTTTTATTGTTGAATGGGTTGAGATAGTGAGGTGGAAATTTGAAAATTTTATTTTTTATTTTCTATTATTGTTTAAATAGACACGTCAGTTATTTAACGGTCAACTATGAATGTTGACTACCACATAGGATAAACATAACGGAGACTAATGGAGAGTGACCAAATTTGAACCGTTAAACTAATTTAAGTAACAAAAATGGAATAAAATAAGTCCAATGGCAAACGTGAAATTTTATAGTATTTCAAGTGACCAAACTTGCAATTTACTCATTAAAAAATAGATGGCCATAAAGTTGGATCAAATCATTTCCAACAAAGACACCCAGCAACACCATCCACGAGCGTATAAACAAAGGTTCAAAGCGAATTCTAGTACTATTCTTGCCAAACATTACCAAGGTCCAAGTAAGTCACTGCAGCCTATTGCAGTTCTGCTTCACGAGCTGCGACCAGCAAAAGAAACGAACAACCACCTGCCACTGCCGTCGCTAGCAGCACGACCACCAAACAAACAAGCGACCAACAAAGACGACCAAAGCACTCTGCTGCAGCCGCAGGGCAAGAACCAGAGCACCATCATCAGGTTGGAGAAGCAAGATCAGGAAGAGCCAAACAACGTGACATCTTCCTTACACCCTAGCTTCAAGACTTTGAAACCAAACTCGCATATTAGACAAAACTCTTCTGAATCACAAAAGTTTGTGGAAGGATGTAAAACTGTAAACATAGGTCCTCTTGGCTCATGGAGACTGACGTCTTAAGAGACAGATCTGAATTGTGGAAAATAACCCTAGAGAGCATTCAAAGAAAATGCCCTTGAGATAATTGGAGAAATGTAAATCAGCACTGGGAAGTGAAGGAAAAGAAAGCAGGACAAAATAGAGCTCTCACAATGACCGAGAGAGTTTCAAGAGACAACGAGGACTGACAGAGTGTAGTTTTTGGGCGGTTTATGAGTCGATGAGAGGAAAAGAGCAAGTGATCATATAGTTAAGAGCTTGAAGAGCAGTTACATGACAACAAAACTCATCTCACAACTTTATATGCATGTAGCTAGGAACCGTTCTGATTCAAGACTTGTGCTTCAGCCCTCGCCATCGGGTCATCTCTGGCCTCAGTTTCTTCTTCCTTCTCTCCTTCTCGCTCATCTGCCTTCTTCTTTCTATGCAAGTCCTCTGCAGCCTGCAATGCAGCACGGTTCTCTTCTTGCATTCGCTGCATTTCCTCTTCTTGTTGCTGGCGCTCAAACCATGTATCGGCATCTGCCCAAACTGGAAAGAAAATCATATACAAAACGAAGTTTTGTTAGGTAACTACCCAAGCACACATTTGACATTATGTGGCTTCTGAAATTGCACATATAGCACAGTTTTTACAGTTCCAACAGGTTGAAGTTCTACACCTGCCATAAGTTCATCTCTAACAGCAGAAGCAAACAATGGCATCATCCATAGATGAGTTTATACAAAGCAGTAAAGCCAGCTAGAGAGATCCATCCTTATAATGCATGCAAAACACTATAAATCCATTAAAGGAACAAACAACTAACTGAGGCAATGGAGGCATCATTGGAATAAGATACAGTCAAGACGCTTAGAAGAAATACAAGTCAATCAGTAATTCTTCAATTAGAAGTCAGTGCAAAAGTTCAGTAGAATATCTATTAGGTATACTGAGTGCTCCAAAACTCTACTCCAAACTGAATCAAGTATGATGTGTTTCTAGTTCCTACTCATAAAATTCAGCTGAAGTTTCGATGAACTACCAGGTCGCACAAAATGTCAAAATTAGGGCAGGATCGTCAAGTATGATGTGTTCCTAGTAGAATATCACTAAACCCTAGGATTGCTCCAAAATTCTACTCAAAAGTCGAGACTGAATCAAGTACGATGGGTTTCTAGTTTCTACTCATAAATTTCAGCAGAAGTTTCAGTGAACTACTAAGGTCCCACAAAACGTCGAAATTAGGGTTAGGGTTATAAACAGAATAAACCATATGTAACAATGTGAGAAAGAAGAAGGCAGTAAACATACTAGGTTGAGCAGCCCATCCTTGTTCACCGCCCTTAATTTTCTCCGGGAGAGCGTAATTGACGGTGAGTACTCTTCCGTAGAGCTCGGCTCCGTCCATGTTGTCCATGGCCGCGGAGGCGTCTTCCTTCTCGAGGAAAGTAACGAACCCGAAGGAGCGATGCTTCTGAGTGGCCTGATCTAACGGAGTCTTGACATCTTTAATGTCACCGAAGGGGATGAACGCGGCGTGGAGTATGGACTCGTTGACTTCCTCTGCCAATCCTCCGACGTAGAGCGTGTTCTTCTGCACCGGCTGCTGCGCCGCCATTGCTGCGCCCTGTAACAACCCAGCTGACATTGGCGTGTACAGAGTAGCGTGTATAAATAGAAGAGTCTCTTCTATTATTGGTTATCTTTTTGCCAACCTGTAACTACTTTACTTTACCAATTAGTCTGCTAGCAATAAAACTAAAACTCTCCATCGTCGCTATCCATTTCCTTTCCCCTCTTTCCCTTCTTCTTCGCCGGATCCGCCATAGACGATCCTTACAAGTGGTATCCAGAGCCTGCAATCCGGCAAATGGCGACGAACACCTCTCGCATTGTTGACTTGGAGTCGCAGATGGCGGCAGTTCAGTCGAAGATTGATTCGCAGCACCAAGACTTGAAGGAAGCAATCGCCTCTCTCGCTTCGTCGACGAAGGCGAACATTGATGCGCTTACTGCTTCTTTGGCGCACCTCCGCGAGAAGTCCCCGGTGCGAGATCGCCAGCAAGCTGAGCCTGAGCTATTCTTCGGTCAGCAGCAATTTCGTCCTCCGCCACGGCGTCCATCGCTCTTGGATCACTACCCTCGCCTGGAGTTCTCCTATTTCTCAGGCAACGATCCTCATGTTTGGGTGAGCAAGTGCAACAAACTCTTCCAGCTCTATTCGATTCCCGAAGATCAGAAGGTGGATCTCGTTTCTTACTATCTTGAAGGCAGAGCTCATACTTGGTTTGACGGCTGGTCTTTCCGTCGTTTTCCATTAGTGTGGGGGCAGTTCGTCGATGAGTTGTTCCGCAGGTTTGATGATCAGGAGAAGTTGAACGTGGTGGCCGCCTTTAATCAGTTGAGGCAGATTGGTTCTGTGTCTCGTTACCAGGAAGAATTCGAGGAGCTTCGCTCCAGGATGCTTCGATTGAATCCAGAACTCAACGAGCACTACTTCATCCTTAGCTTCTTGGGCGGGCTCGACGATGAAATACAGCCTCGTGTCCAAGCTTTGCATCCTCCGACGTTAGCCTGCGCCTTCTATCAAGCTCGTTTAGAGGAGTCCGCCATTGAAGCTCGCAAACGGAAAACTCGAAATCTCTCTTCCAGTCGCTGGACGGGGCCGTCCTCTGCTCAGTCGAGTAAGTCGGTGCCGCGGGAGTCGCCTCTTCCTCCTTCCCAGCCTCATGATCGCAATGCGGTTCCGCGTGGTCAAGGTCTCTGCTATAAATGCGGGGATAAATATTTTCATGGTCATATATGTTCCAAGAAGAAGCAAATCCAAGTAATGCAAGCTGAAGCATCTCCTTCGTATAGCGAGGAGGAGGAACAGGATGATGACTTCCAGGATGCCGAGCTGGAAGTGACTCTGCAGGCTATGGGGTCAGGGTTCACCGGTAATTCTTTACTCATTCCAGCTACTGCAGGGAAACGGGAAGTTACAGTTCTCATTGATACAGGTAGTTCTCATACATTCTTGAACTCCCTTAAGGCTGAAGAACTTAACTGTAGGACAGAAGCTATAGCCCCAATGCGTGTTAAAGTAGCAAGTGGACATACTTTGTTGAGCAATTCGGTTTGCAAAGGCTTTCTATGGAAAATGCAAGGGCAGGAGTTTGGGTTTGATGTTCGTACGCTTGAGTTGCCTGCACATGATCTGGTTTTAGGATGGGATTGGTTGGAAACCATTAGCCCGTTTCAAGTAGATTTGAAGAAGAGACAGTTGGCTTTTGAATGGAAGGGTAAAACACTCACATTGCAGGGCCTTACTAAGGAAGGGCAGTGCAAGTTGATATCGGGTAGGGACTTGCAGCAGCTACTAAAAAGACCCCAGACACATTTGACTGGTGCTGTTTATTCTTTGGCACCTCTCCCTGATTCCTCTTCCCCTCCAGCCTTTTTACAACCACTCCTTGACCAGTTCCATGATGTATTCGCCACTCCCACCACACTCCCACCTTCTAGGCCCTTTGATCATACCATACCCTTACTCCCAAACACTCAACCTATAAACATTCGTCCCTATCGATTTCCCCACCACCAAAAAGCTGTGGCAGAAAAATTGGTTGCCGAAATGCTGCAGGCTGACTTTATTCAAGAAAGCCACAGTCCTTATGCTTCACCGGTCCTGTTGATTGGGAAAAAGGATGGGTCTTGGCGGTTCTGTGTGGATTACCGAGAGCTTAATGCAGCCACAATCAAGGATAAATTTCCTATACCCCATATAGAAGATTTATTGGATGAATTACATGGGGCAGTCCTGTTTTCAAAACTGGACCTCAGGGCTGGTTACCATCAGGTGCGAATGCATCCTGCAGATCAGTTTAAGACGGCATTTCGAACTCACCAAGGGCATTACGAGTTCAGGGTTATGCCTTTCGGCTTGACTAATGCCCCTGCCACGTTTCAGGCTCTCATGAACCACGTCTTTGGCCGCTACTTGAGGAAGTTTGTTCTTGTGTTTTTTGACGACATATTGGTTTACAGCAAATCAGAATCTGAGCATGTGCAGCATTTAACCATCACCCTTCAGCTCCTACGAGATCATCAGTTATATGCTAAGTCTTCCAAATGTTCGTTTGGGCAGCAGACTGTGGAATATCTTGGACACATCATTAGCAGGGAAGGAGTCTCTACTGATCCTAGTAAGGTTGCTGCAATGCAGTCTTGGCCACGTCCCACCTCAGTTAAAGGGTTACGAGGTTTTCTGGGCTTGACAGGATACTACCGCAAGTTCGTTAAGCACTATGGCATTATTAGTCGACCACTCACTGAGCTTCTTAAGAAGAATGGGTTCCACTGGTCATCGGCAGCAGAGGAAGCTTTTGAAACTTTAAAGGCAGCCATGAGCCAAGCCCCGGTTCTGGGTTTACCTGACTTCACACAACCTTTTACCTTGGAGACCGACGCTTGTGGCTCGGGTGTGGGAGCAGTGTTATCTCAAAATGGCCATCCCTTAGCTTTTTACAGCAAGGCCCTCAGCATGAGGAATCAAGGGCTGAGTACCTATGAAAAGGAGTATTTGGCTGTCTTGATGGCGGTAGACCATTGGCGGCATTACTTGGAAGGTCGTTCATTCACCATCGTAACCGATCATGAAAGTTTGAAGTTTCTCATGGGCCAGAAGGTGCATACTGCCATCCAAAAGAAAGGGTTAGTCAAACTCATGGGTCTGGACTTCCAGATCAAATATAGGAAAGGGCGTTATAATGGGGCTGCAGATGCGTTGTCTCGAGTGTTTGAAGATGAGCTGGAGGGGGGCTGCCAAGCCTTGTTATCTGTACTTCCTGAATGGTTGGTTGAGATTGAACATTCTTATGAGAATGATACTGAAGTGGTAGGGTTGATTGCAGCCGCTGCAGTGAATAATTCTGGACCTTCTTTGTGGTCCTTCTCAGCTGGCATACTTAGGTACAAAGGAGCTATTGTGGTGGGCTCGACGGGATTCTTGCGTACCAAATTGCTCAGACTATTCCACTCTTCTCCCGTCGGTGGGCACTCGGGTGCTCAGGGCACGTACCAGCGACTCAAATCCTATTTCTATTGGAGAGGTATGAAGGCTGCAGTTACTCAGTGGGTTTCAGAATGCGAGGTTTGTCAACGATGCAAGACTGAAACTCTTGCTTCCCCAGGACTCCTTCAGCCTTTACCCATCCCTACCCGTGCCTGGTGTGATATTAGTATGGATTTTGTAGAAGGTTTGCCGGTTTCGCAAGGTAAACAAGTGCTGCTGGTCGTTGTGGACAGGTTCACCAAGGCAGCCCATTTCTTTGCTCTTTCTCACCCTTACACAGCAGCTGAAGTGGCGCAAGTATTCTTCGATGGAGTATTCAAACACCATGGCATGCCCTCTACAATTGTTTGTGATCGTGACTCGACTTTCACCAGCTCATTTTGGACGGAATTCTTCAGGTTGCAGCGTGCAGATATCCACTATTCGACTGCTTACCACCCACAAACTGATGGACAAACGGAAAGGGTCAACAGATGTTTGGAAGACTATCTCAGGTGTATGACATTTCACAGGCCCCAGGATTGGTTAGCATGGTTAACATTAGCTGAGTGGTGTTACAACACCCACTTTCATGACAGCTTACAGATGTCTCCTTTCGAGGCCCTTTATGGATTCCCTCCTTCCTTCTTTGGCCTCGGTGCTGTTCTTCCAACCTCAGTGGGGGCTGTAGAGGAGAAGGTGCGAATTCAGCGTCAGATGGTTCAGCTCTTGACTCACAGCATAACAAAGGCACAAAACCGGCAGAAGCAATATGCAGACAGGCGACGTTCGGAACGAGTACTACAAGTGAATGACTGGGTATATCTTCGCTTGCAACCATACCGCCAAGGTTCTGTCGTCGGACGCCATGGAAACAAGTTAGCAGCTCGATACTTCGGACCATACAAGGTGCTTGCCAAGATAGGTGCAGTGGCTTATCGGCTCTCTTTACCAGCGGAGTCCAAGATTCACCCCGTCTTCCACGTCTCTCAACTCAAGCTTTGTCGTTCCACTGTACCTCCTGCCGCTATGCAATTGCCTGCAGCAGATGCCTCGGGGTCTCTCAAGCTGGCGCCTTCTCAAATTCTGGCCAGGAGGTTTGTTAATCAAGGAAATCAGGCGGTGACCCAGGTGTTGGTTCAATGGTCTCATCAGACAGCTGAGGATGCTACTTGGGAGGATCTGGTACAATTCAAAAGCCAATTTCCCGCCTTTCCAGCTTGAGGACAAGCTGCTTTTGAAGGGGAAGGGTTTGTAACAACCCAGCTGACATTGGCGTGTACAGAGTAGCGTGTATAAATAGAAGAGTCTCTTCTATTATTGGTTATCTTTTTGCCAACCTGTAACTACTTTACTTTACCAATTAGTCTGCTAGCAATAAAACTAAAACTCTCCATCGTCGCTATCCATTTCCTTTCCCCTCTTTCCCTTCTTCTTCGCCGGATCCGCCATAGACGATCCTTACACGCCCACTGTTTGTCCGTCGCCGGGGAGAAACGGGATCTCTTTTCCACTTCGCCTTATTCGAGGGTCTCTCACTTTCTTCCTCGCATACGGTAACGGAACGAATGAAGCGGTGAATG